TTCACACATTGATGAACATGCACACACAGGCACACACACACACACACACACAGAGAAAGGATAGCTATAGCAGATGATAACCATATCTCAATATTTCCTGTAATAAGTCTGGCATGTAACCAAAGACAACCTTTCAACCTCAGGGCATGCAAAAACCCAGACTGCTGCTTTCTCAAGAGGGCAGCCAGAGTGTGTGAACCAAAGGAGAGAGATGCAATGTAGACCTGTGTGATTTGTGTGCGACTATGTATGTGTGTGCACGAGAGGCTTTCTCATGAGGAAAGGAAATAACATTTGAAATGTCAGGTAAAGAAACTGTTTTTTTTGTGTGCACACTGATGTTCATTCTTGCTATGTGACTGTTCATATGTGTATGCGTGTGTGAGAGCTCACATTCAAAAGCCGCCTCGCCCTCAGGGCTCAATGGGGGAACATCAACTAACCTGTATCACTACTCTTAAAAAATAGCCCATGACACATAAGCTGAAGGTTCAAGGCCCCCAAAATGCCCCTTCCCCCCTGAGTGTTGTGTTTAATCATGCAGCCTACACAATTACAAAAAAAAACAAAACACAGAGGGCTGGGGGTGCGAGAGAAAGAGAAAGTTATTGTGGAGAGGTCTCCACCTCCCACTGTGTACTGGACAGGAGTCAATGAGCTAATGCTACTCAAACAACAAGCCAACCAGAAAAGACAGGGAGTAGGACTATGAGTGTATGTGTTCGTGGGGGGGTGTGTGTGTGTGTGTCTTCTCACCAGCTGAACGTAGGCTACTTTATAGTCAGGCTGCTTAACCTTCTGGTTTAGGTGATTCCTCTTCTTGTTAGAGCCTGAGAAACACAGAGAACAGCAGGTATTGAATTTGTTGGCAAACAGGAATGACTAAACATGAGAAAAATCTAGATATAACACATCAGACAGAGGGACAGCTAATGATGATGACATTAATGAATATGGCGAGACTAGGGTTGGGCAATTTGACGATATACCTTAAAGATGATGGAAATTTCTCAACTGGTAGAGACTCTGCTAAACTGTTTCTAATGGAGTATCTTGTCCTTAAAAAAGTCAAGTCCTATTGGGTCTTGGTGGGATGTTCCAAATGAGTTGAGCAAGACCACTTTAGCACGCCTGGAAAAAAGGAAAAGCCAACACAAACCTGGATCCCTCTCCATTCTCCCATACGTCTTCAATTTATTCACATCATATTCATTCTCATCAAACCGTTCAATCACCCTTCGTGTTCCGAATGAAAGCATGTGCATTTGTCATGTTTCTCCACTCATCAATTCATTTTTTTCATTTGTCATCCATCAATATATTGCACAAATCTGAATGTGCAGGAATGAAATTGCTTTGCAATGCCTGTGTGTGAGACAGAGCCATTTATTTGTGTGAGGTGAGAGTTTGTGAGAGTTGAATCACAGGCACATCACCAGGGTTTTCCATACAATTCTATCACTTATGCACAGCGCTTATGTGTATTTTCACAGTGCCTTAGTCAAATGAAAAGAAAAGAGCCTATGCTCAGAGTTCTCTACCAGGTTTCGCTGTTATTATAGCTTCTCTGTCCTCCCATGTTTGACTGGCGGTTGCTCAGCAGAGTGAAGTGAAAGTAACGTTGGAAAAAGCAGGAAAGCGATATTTGCACCTACTCTGTCCGTAGTTGCTGTTTTACACAACCACAGCGCACTTGTTAAGATAATAGTTACATACAGGCTAAGACAAAAGCAGACTGTATGTGCCACAAATGTTCAAATTTGGCAAATTCTTGTAAACTTCACAGGCTGAGATGGCAGCCACCCCTCCAAACCAGCCTTTGATCACCTTTCTACCAGCAGTAGGCTACCTGCAGGCAGTGAATCAAGTCAGTAGCAGAGGAGAACAGGATGAATGACTGATACTGATTGGTGTGTGTATATTCTTGATGTCAGTAATATTATTTATTTCACTGACATTTTAGATTTGCTTCCAGTAAGATAATATTGAGCATAAATAGACTTTGATGTATTGTTTCTAAAGCAGCAACAGCAAACAAATATAAATCAATCCTAATCCTGTGCTGAATTTATTCCCTATTATTTATGTCCCTGCAAATTACCAAAACATGTCTTGTTAAGGTTTGGATTTTGCGTGCCATGTATGCAACATTATTTGTCCTTTGCCAGTCACATGTCTGTTGAAGTGATGAACTGCACTACTTTTTATATTAATGCTACAATTTTCTGGCCTGTACTACAGAACCTCTGTGCAAAAAAAGTGGAACATACAGCCCCCAGTGTTTTTTAATGTAATGAAGTACCTTGAAACAAATACAAACATTCCCATTTGATTTAATTATGGACAGTTGTAATTATGTGTCACTATTAAAATGCCTAAAGCACTATATTTAACTGCACATATTATCACGTTATGTTCCATTCCTACCTGAATAACAAATATTTTACTGTACATTTTTGTTCATTTCCCTGTAGAACAGCGAATACTTTTGAGTATGCGTGGTGAAGCAGAGCCTGATCTTGTTGACTATGGAGGCCTTAACCTCTTTCCCAGCTGGAGATAATGACATCATCCTCTCTCCTGTCAGACCTCTCCAAGTCTGGTAGATAGGGGACTCTGGGAGATGCTGCATTTGTGTGTGTGTGTGTGTTTTGAGGCAGACTAGGAGTGTGGCTTCAAATAAATCAAAAGGTAATTTTACTAAACTTACAGGCATTTCACACAAGTATCTCAGTGTTTAAAACCCGACTGTCAATGATGGATAATGACAAGAGCATCAAACAGTTCATCTCTGCCATTCTAATCTCAATGAGACCCTGGTGGTCAAGTCAACAGGCCCTCTGAGTAGCTGCCATTGCCATGGGAACGGTTTATGACATGAAAAACAAGGGAAACATTCTGCTGTAATGAGTCATTTATGTGTGTGTGTGTCTGTGT